CTCCCCTGTTTGCTGAGACAGGCTGATCTTCAGCTTCCAGCCTGAGTCCCTTCTCTCTTTTCTGTCTCCCTCTCGAAGAGGCAGCTTCTGTCTCTCCCCACTTCTCCCCTTCCCCCCTTTTGTTTCCCTCTCTCCTCTCTCCTCTCTCTGTCTCTCTGCTCTTCGCCCTTCTCCCCTTCCCTTCCATAACCCACTAAATAAATATCCAACCTCACTCTGTATGGTGTGCCTATTTGTCTGTCTCTTGTTTGCCATGTGCCTCCCTGCCTGGGACCAGCCGCCTTCGGAGACCTGCAGCATGGTCTCATGGCATGCCCATCTGTCTGTCTCTCCAAGTGGGACTGGCTGCCCCATGGAGGTCTCTCATCCGCCACATGGCTCCCTGCCTGGGACTCGTGGCCCTGCTGCAGCCACTCGGGAGACTGTGCCTTCCCTGCCTGGGACTGGCTGCTCTCGGGGACCCACTGCCCACTGCAGCTGTTTGCTTGGGGACCCGCAGCGTTTATGTTGCTACAGCCACTCAGGGATCCACAGCATTTTTACTTAATCCATTACAATTCCACCTTGTCTGAAGGTCAGAGAATTTGAGCTTATTTTTGCTCTTTTAAAGCTGTTGAAAACAGGCGTGGCTACAAAATAAGATATTCTGACCTAGGGTGTGGTTACTTTGGTGTTTTGAACATTAAGATGGTCCATAGATAAGGATCCATTCCACCTGAGCAAAGGTCAGAGAATTCAAGCATACTTCTGCTCCTTCTTTTGAAATAGGAGGTTTGACTTAGGGAGTGGCTGCCTGCAGGATACTTGGTCTATGGTGTGTTCCCTGTTCCAAACAATGTAGGCTTTACTCAGGAATTAATGGCTTGATGTCTCAAAGTACTGAAACAAACAACTGTTCTGGTTGTCCTTTGTGTTGTGTTAAAGCAGTCTATTGCCCTCTTCCCCCTTTTTGTACTGGGATAATAATAAAGAGAAACAAACCTGAAAGTTAGTTTATTGATAACGAATAGACTAGATTAGTCTCAATCAGGACCAGTGAAGGAATCTGCCTGCCTAGAATAGAAGAGGTGTTAGGAAGAATAGTGAGGAATAAGGGTGGAGAGGAGACTGTGTCAGACACCCAGGCATGATCAGTCGAGACTGATTTGTTGAGCACAATATGTAATTAGACAGGGTGGTCTGTAACTAATTGTTATTTGACAGCCTGTACTCAGTTTCATGGATGGATGGGTAGATGGACTGCAGATGAATAAATGGATCTCATATTTAATGATCAATAGTCTTGGATGTTGAGACCATGTTTTTAAATCTTTAGTTATACACTAAATATACATTTAAATCTCAGAAGTAAACAAACACTACCCATAAAAGCCCTCATGGCCAAACTGTACACAGTGTTCTTACACTAAAACAAACGTAAGCCTGAGATTACCTTCTTCAAGAGCACTACCAACTTCTTCATGACTTTCCTCCCCTGCATCTAAGTCAATACGCTCTTCTGTGTTGCTCCAAAGGCTCCAGCACAGGCGGTACAGCTAACCAGAGGCAACACACACGTTCATTAATGCTGGGAAGAGATTACAGTGATTCAGTGATACCTTGTTTAATGTATGGTTTAAAAACCTAGCTGCTCCAGGACATTACAGGTTAAAAAGGAAAGGTGTCCCACAGACTTTCTTACCAAAACACACCAATCATTTTGAATTATTTCTGTTTTTAATTCTCGTGTTGGTTTATGACTCCAAGTAGTCTTCTTAGACTCCTATCTCTGGATTCGAGACGTCAGGAAAAGCATGGACTTAGTTGTGCAGGACCTTGGCTACATCCATTGTCCTATCGTACATTGTTAGTGCTACCCCATGATTGCTTTCATCTGCTCTAATAGTTGCTTTTGTATTGATAAACATTTGTAATAAACTCTTTTTCTGGATCCATCACACTTAGATAGCATCTGGGAGCTGTTCTTGATTTCCACTTTTCCATGTGTGTTTCAGATGGTGTAGGAGAGAGCTCTCAAAGCAAGACCAGCAGGTGAGGTAGTGATTGGATCAGGTGCAGCCACTGCACAACCGATAAAAAATGACAGACAAGCAAGCTTGCTTCACCTCTCCTGGCTCTCTAGCTTGCCTCGCTCTCACGTGTTTTTTCGTGCTAATGTGGTTATGTTGTTGACAGAAGTACCATCTCCTGTTCAGCATGTACTCTCGTACACCAGCTGTCAGGAGGACAGAGGCAAACAGGGGCCTCAAGATACCTAAAAGTGGATGCTTGGTCATGCAAATGTTAATTGTCTGTTTGGGAATAACTGGACTAATGGGTCACATGACACTCATGACACGTAAGAGGATGACAAGTAGCATGGTAGGAAAATGATGTGAATACTAAATAAAAACATAGACTCATGAATGCCAATCCTACCATAAGAACATATTCCTATGGTTCCTTCACCAGGGGCCATTGGGCTCTATACCACAACTTCATCAGGACACGTGCATCCATACCTGTTGCTGTATCTTTTCATTCTGCCTTTGACTCCCAGAACTTATGGTGTTACGATAGAGAAGGTGGTTGTTTGGTTGTTAATTGTTTTTTTTTTCCTCACAGAATCGTAAATCTCATTAAGTTTTTTTCTTTCTTTCTTTTTTTTTTCTTTTTTTCTTTTTTTTTTTTTGAGACAGGGGTTCTCTGTAGCTTTGGAACCTGTCCCGGAACTAGCTCTTGTAGACCAGGCTGGCCTCGAACTCACAGAGATCCACCTCCCTCTGCCTCCCAAGTGCTGGGATTAAAGGCATGCGTCACCACCGCCCAGCTTCATTAAGATATTTTAAAATCTATGGTTTTCTAATTTTTTTTATTCTGTGAAATTGTAGGCTCTAGATAACATAGGGGAAAACCATTAATTTAATCATTGAAATATTAACAGGATTTGTGCCCTTAGTTTTTACTGGGACCACTTCATCTTGAGCCTCATGGAATTCAAGCCAGCATCTTCTCCACCAAGAGACTCAGAGGCCTAATTTCTCTCTGTCCCTTACTTTATTTGTAAAGAGTTAAGACCGGGACTAGGGCAGTGTTTGGCTGTCCATGCCAAGGGGCTAATGTGTCCAAGTTATTGTTGCTATTGCCACAACAGCACCGTATTTTAAACATGCCGTCTATTCCCCTTACAGAGAGTGTGACTGTAGAGCGGCCGGACCTCTTCTAATGCTACACTTGTCTGCCAGATGGAGGGTTCTCCACCCTGGAAGAACTGGGGCACCCACCCCCCAGGTTTCCTCAAGGTGGAATCTATAGAGAATGAGAGAGTTCAGTTTCCCAGTGACTTCAAAATAAACTTCAACTGCCAAGCCACACAGATGTAGTGATCTGTTTTCTCCCTAGGAGACACACACGGGTATAGTGCTCAATTCGTGTAGTGTAAAGGAAAAAGGATGGATCTGCTATTTGATCACTTTAACTTCATTTAGAGTTATCCTCACTATTTATGTAGTTATTTTTGCTAAAGTTATAATGTCTTTTCTTTCAATATCCTTTCCCACGTTTCTTTTTAATCAAGACTATTGAATTTTTTTTAATATCAATTGGTAGAGAATAAAAGACACACACACACACACCAGTCTTCTTGATAGAAGTATATGTTCACATACACTAACACTGATAAAACCCATTCTAGGTATATTGCTACAAGCCACAACATTATACAGTAATCGCTCAGTCATCTTTTCATGAGTGATTTATCAAAGTCTATGGCTTTGGTAAAAGTTTTTAAACCAAAAGGCAAGGCTTTTTTGTGTTATTACTTTGTGAATGAGTGGCTGTCCTTTGCTGTAGATTTTCACTGTAGCTAACTCCCTTTCTGCTACATATTTGGGAATTAATTCCCTAGTTCAGAACAGTTTCCCACTGCCAGGCCTTTGTTCCTCTGTCCTAGGTAAACACAGAGATCTGCCTTCCTGTGATTATCTTTATCCAGCAGGCCTTTGGTCAGTGCTTAGGGTCCAGGCATAGAGCATCCCCTCTAAGATATTCGCAGATCTCCAAGGACATAGAATTACTTCCTGCCAAGCTGCTGCTCTGGTTTTACCTCACTTAAAAGATTCCTAACTCCTTGTGCTCACTTTCACCTCAGTTTACTGGTGATTTTAGTTCTGGACTCTCAAGACAGCAGAAGAGGTAATTACCTGCAACCCAGAGAAAGACCACAACACCCACGATCAGAACAGCTGGGAACAGCATAGCCCGGAACTGATCATTTAGAGGCCTGGGTCTCTTCTTCGCTTAGAGCGGTAAATATAACTCCAGACCTAGGCTTTCAGCATCTGGTGTATGTGCTATCTGATCAAGAGCTTCCGCTAGATTGCCTAGTTACCTGGTAACCTCTATGCTTGCTGGGAGGAAAAAGGCAGCACACTGATTTAAACAATCTGTGCCCTATTCATAATTTTACTGAAAATAAACCTTTACTAACCACCTAAAAATATAGCGTAGCACACTAACCTTCCCCTGTAGAATTCCCTGATGATTTAATTCCTTTCTTCACTTTCTCCATTAAGGAGTTTACCAGACATGTGCTAGCCACTCCCAATGATCTGTGTGTGTTTGTGAAAACCCTTCTCTGATTTTCTATGGGGTAAAAGAATTCTGGCCCTGGAACCTACTAGGGCTGGTGAATTGCTGATTTTAAAGGTATATATGACTGGTAACATTTGTAACAGGCAGAACAAGAACCTGGATGGAGTTTTATGAAGATATGGTGTAAGGACAATGAAGAGGGGGAGAAACAAGTAATAATCAGTTAGTGGAAGTCTGAAAAAAAACCTACTTCATTTAAAAATATGGCTCTAATGTTTGTGTTCGTAAAGAGAAAGGTTGAACACTCCTTGATGATTCTTCCACACTGTAGAACCTCACTGTTAGTTTCCTCAAATCCAGAGACCAGGATCTGTAGTTCCTGTCTGTCCACCCTCCTCAGAGGAGTCCTAGGCCAAGACCAGGTTCCCTCACCGTCCAGCTATCAGGAGCTCTCTCTCAGACGCCTTCTTCCTCATCTTGGTGTAGAGGTCCACGGTGAAGAGGGTGCTAGAGCTGTTGAAGATGGAGGTCAGGGAGCTCATGAGGGAGGCCACCATGACTGACAGCATCAGGCCTCGAAGTCCTGGAGGTCAGGAGAGGTGAAGCCTGGTTAGACGGGATGTCATGGCTTATGAGTGGTTTGCTACATCAAAGAGTCATGGAAAGACAAAACTGTCACTCACAGAGTTAACAGTTCATGTAATTATCAATGTACACTATCACTTTACTTTTAAAGGTTCTTAGAGATTTAATCAGTCAAACCTCACAAAAGCTTAGAAAGTTATTGAAACACAGTAAAGGTTCAGCATGTGTTGGATACAGTGATAATTCACGGAAAGTGAATACATCATTACAGAATATTTATAACAAGGTTTAATTAAATTAACCATACTTGAATGTTAAAAAAATGATAGTGAAATATTCAACTTTCAATTCGAGAGTTTAATCTTAAAAATACAAAGCTATCACATGACTGGTTAGCATCTATGATATAAAATTAGTTAAAGAAATGTAAATATCTAGATTTATAATGCAAACCCGAAGTCCATTGCTCAGGTTCAGCTTAGTATCAGTTCAATGCTAAATATTATTTCAATGTCATGTGCTGGAACTGCTTTGGGAGAGTGGAAATAAGCCATCTTTCTTTGGTGGAGAAGCTCTTGGCTTCCCGATGGCTTTGAGAACTGGATAGGAGGAGAGTTAGCCGGAAATATGGCTGACAAACCTTTGTGGGCAAAGCTGATGGTTTTGAATCACTGTGGGAGCTTCACACTTCAGCTACTTCCATCCTTTAGTAATGGCCCCAGGTCTCCCAGTACCAGGTAGAACGGCATGCGCACTACTTGGAGTTTGTGGGTTATAGCTCCTTTATCTTGAATAAGCTTGTATATGGCAAGGAGAAGGAAAGTGTCAGCCAAGACCCCAGACCATTTGGTGACTTATCAGCTTTGTATTTGCTCTGTTCGTGTGGCCCACAGCAACTTCTGGAAATTCTAACAATCTGAACCTCACGCAGCCTGTTATCTAGACTGCAAAACTGCAATGAGTTCCACAGTGTAGGGCAATTGTGTGTACTTTGTTGATGAGTTATAAAAACCAAAGCTATGCCTAAGAACTGGCGCACACACATAGGCATGAAGCATGTAAATTGAGGGGTATTGTTTTAAAGACGTCAAGGTAAAGCTAACTTCTAGTCTCCCGAGTTTGCACATTTGCAGCTTTGCAACCTTTTCCTTGGGTAACAAATCATTTAATGTTAACGGAGCTGGAAGTCAGTCTTCACCCTAAGCAGTATCCTCTAACAGACGTCAGCTCCTCTCTGAAATCTCCAGACCCAGTCAGTGTGACTGGTAGACTGACTCTCAAGAGACACCTGATGACTAGGACTGAATCCCCAATCCTTCCTCAGAGCCTTAGTTTCCATCTAAGACATGGTATGGACGTTGACTAACCATCAGGCATCAATTCCAGCACCAGCGTAGGGTAGGCGTAGTTGGTGCAGCCAACTTCAGTGCCGCACTGTTTCACACACTCAGAAGGTACAACGCAGGCCACCTTAGCTGAGGAGAGACAGTTCAGTGAGCAGGGCTCAACTCAGTACAGTCTGCAGACAGGACAGAGGTAAGAGGCAAGACCGTAGATAGGAGAAGCTATAATCACCTTAAAAATTGGATACTGAACTTTGAACTTCATATATTTATGCCTGACTGGGAAAGCGCAGTGAGTGCTGTGTGGTACGATGACAGCGGAAGTGTCTTCCACTCATCAGAAGAGACTGACTGTGTTTCCTTTACTTTTTGTAATAAAGGAAAAAGCAATGTTTTAAGAAAATAACTCAGCAGTAGTTATTCTCATTTTACTTGGGAATTCTCACCTGACCCAGAAATTAATTTCCCCAAAATATTGAAAAGGGATTCCGTTTTCAAGTTCTCTCAGGGACCAAGATGTGAACCTGTGCCTCCAAGACCTTGGTCGAAGACAGCGCCACACCCAATCACAAAGGGTCAGCTGTCACATCCGTGCTCAATTCCACTTCATTAGCCAGTACACTTCTGTACTATCTTACATCAAATCCACTCATGGGAAACAGGACACATAGTTTCAAACAGGCAGAATGTATGAAGTGATACAAAGAGTACCAGATTTGCCCAGTGGTCCCTCTCTGACCCCCCTCTCAGCAGCACCTCCCTCCATTCTAACCTATCAAAGTTGCTCTTGTCTTGAAAACCACAGACATCAAGTGTAGGAGAAGAGGATGCATGCACTCATGGCTTGCCTGTGTACTGAATCTGACTGATCATCCCTGGCATCACCATGAGGAACATAGGCAGCAGCTTCAGGTAGCCACAGAGGATGCAGGCTGCCTTCACATGAGACATGTTCTTACCACATAAGCAGCGCTGCACAGTGACCTGCCTAGAAAACACAACATACTAGGGCAACAGTTTGACTTTAAAGAGGTGAAGGCAAGGTTTAATAGTATAATAAGAAATTATATTGTTAGGCTGAAGAAATTATATTGTCAGGGTCAGCACTAAAAGTTCTTGGTATTGTTCTTGCAGAGGACTGGGGTTCAGTTCCCAGCAGCCATATGGTGACTTGCAGCTGTCTATAACTCCAGTTCTGTGGGAATTCAATACCCTCTTTTGACTTCCATGGACACAAGACATGCGATTGTGCACATACATACATGCAGACAAAGCACCCATAAAACTAACTAAACGCAAAAATCATTTTTCAAAGGTATGGTTTGTGGAAACTGATAGACTTAGTAGCAGCATCAGGATTTGCATTGCTACTTAGTCTGCAGTGTTTGACCTCTCTGAGTCTCTTGCTTCTCATCTTCAAAATAGGAATATCTCTCATAGAATAGTCTGAACGTTTTTTAAACTTTATTTTACGAGCATTGGTGTGAGGGTGTCAGATCCCCTGGAACTGAGATGCCATGTGGGTGCTGTTAATTGGACCCAGGTCCTCTGGAAGAGCAGCCAGTGCTCTTTTTTTACTACTTTAAAAATAATACCAATCAAAATCCCCACTTCCTCTCCTCCCCTCACTTTCCTCCTGCTCCCCCCATGCTCTCCTCCAACCCCCTCCAGTCCTAAGAGAGGGCAAGGCACCCTGTCCTGTGGGAAGTCCAAGGCCCTTCCCACTACATCCAGGCTGAGCAAGGTATGCATCCAAAGAGAATAGTATCCCAAAAAGCCAGTACATGCAGTAGAGACAAATCCCAGTGCCATTGTCATTGGCCCCTCAGTCTGCCCCAACTGTCAACCATATTCAGAGGGATCAGTTTGATCCCATGCTCATTCATTCCCAGTCTAGCTGTTGTTGGAGAGCTCCCATTAGCTCAGGCACACTGTCTCAGTGGGCAAACCCCTCATGGTCCTGACTTCCTTGATCATGTTCTCCCTCCGTCCGCTCTTCCACTGAACCTTGGGAGCTCAGTCCAGTGCTCCGATGTGGGTCTCTGTCTCTGTCTCCATCTGTTGTTGCCGGACAAAGGTTCTATGGTGATATTCAAGATAGTCATCAGTCTGCCTACGGGACAAGGCCAGTTCAGGCACCCTCTCCTCCTCTGCTCAGGGTCCTAGTTGGGGTCATCCCCATGGACTCCTGGGAATCCCTCCAGAACCAAGCCTCTTGCCAACCCCACAATCGCTCCCTCAGTTAAGATATATTCTTCCCTGCTCCCATATCAGTCCTTCCTCCATCTCAACCATCCCACTCCCCCAACTCTCCCCCACCCTCCCTTTCTCCCCTCTTCTCCCCCTCTCCCCTTCCCTCTACCTCCCCTGCCCCCATGTTCCCAGCTTTTGCCTGGCAATCTTGTCTGCTTCCAATTTCCAGGAGGATCTATATATGTTTTTCTTTGGGTTCACCTTATTACTTAGCTTCTCTAGGATCATGAACTATAGGTTCAATATCCTTTGTTTATGGCTAAAATCCACTAATGAGTGGGTACATATCATATTCATGTTTTTGGGTTATCTCACTCAGGATAGTGTTTTCTACTTCCACCCATTTGCATGCAAAATTCAAGATGTCATTGTTTTTTACTGCAGAGTAGTACTCTAATGTGTAGATGTGCCACACTTTCTTTATCCGTTCTTCCATTGAGGGGCATCTAGGTTGTTTCCAGGTTCTGGCTATTACGAATAATGCTTATATGAACATAGTTGAACAAATGCTTTTGTAGTATGATTGGCCATCTCTTGAGTATATTCCCAAGAGTGGTATTGCTGGATCCTGAGGTAGGTTGACTCCCAATTTTCAAGAAACCACCATACCGATTTCCAAAGTCGTTGCACAAGTTTGCATTCCCACCAGCAATGGATGAGTGTTCCCCTTACTTCACATCCTCTCCAGCATAAGCTATCATTGGTGTTTTCGATTTTAGCCATTCTGACAGGTGTGAGATGGTATCTCAAAGTTGTTTTGATTTGCATTTCCCTGATAGCTAAAGAAGTTGAATATGTCCTTAAGTATCTTTTGGTCATTTGAAATTCTTCTGTTGAGAATTTTCTGTTTAGTTCAGTACCTCATTTTTTAATTGGGTTATTTAGAATTTCAATGTCCAGTTTCTTGAGTTCTTTATATATTTTGGAGATCAGACCTTTGTCTGATGTGGGGTTGGTGAAGATCTTCTCCCATTCACTTGGTTGCCTTTTTGTCTTACTGACAGTGTCCTTTGCTTTACAGAAGCTTTTCAGTTTCAGGAGGTCCCATTTATTCATTGTTGCTCTTATTGTCTGTGCTACTGGGGTTATACATAGGAAGTGGTCTCCTGTGCCCATGCATTGCAGGATACTTCCCACTTTCTCTTGTGTCAGGTTCAGTGTGGTCATATTTATGTTGCACACACACACACACACACACACACACACACACACACACACACACAAAAGTCCAAGAACCATGACTGAATCAATGCAATATTTTTCAACAATACATTAATGAAAGTTTTATCTTGAGTATAATCAATAATTATTTATTTGGGCCTAATACTCATTCAATGTCAGGAACTCATGCCTAGTACTATAAACCTAGCTGTTGCAGGAGAAGCTTGTTTGTCCAGGAAGACCAAAACTGAAATAACCACACAGAAACTGTATCAATTAAATCACTGCTTGGCCCATTAGCTCTAACTTCTTATTGGCTAACCCTTACATATTAATTTAACCCATCTCCATTAATCTGTGTATCACCACGATGTCATGGCCTACCAGCAAAGTTTCAGCATGTCTATCTCCGATGGTGGATCCATGGCGTCTCCCTCTCTGCTTTCCTTCTCCCAGCATTCAGTTCTGTCTTCCCCACCTACCTAAGTTCTGCACTATCAACAGGCCAAGGCAGTTTCTTTATTCATTAATGGTAATCACAGCACACAGAGGAGACTCCCACATCACCTAGCCACGAACCCATGACTGGAGAGGTCCTCGGTCCTAGAGGAAAACATATTACTGATATGTTGTTACTATAGACTATAGATTCCAACTGTTTTTATACTTGAATTAAAGAAGAGGTCATGAATTCAGGAAGGGGTGCAGATGCTGGGTGAGTTGGGATGGAGGAAAGGAGGGTTGAATGAAAATACAATGTCTCACGTACGAAATTCTCAGATAAGTTTAGAAAGATTTTACTCTCTCTAGAGTCTTAGAATTGCCACAGTCATGAACTACAACAAAGTTTCCTGCGCTTGGCCTACAACATGATAGACCTTGTCAGCAGTCACGGAAGTGGAGGAGCTTGTAGAGCCTTTTCCCTGACTGCGGAACTGTTGGCCATTGACAGGTCGTGGGTCAAAGAACTCTCTAGTTGCCCTGTTGGGTATGTATTCTGAGCCCACTGGGCCCCAAATCCATGTTCAAATCAGACAACCCTGGTTAAACTCAATGTCACGAAACAGACATGAAGAGAACTGTTGATTGTGGTAAAAGTTTCTTGTCTCTTCTACTAGAGACCAGTTCTGAGCTCAGATGGGTCAATGGTCATTCCCCGCCCCCAGAGCTTCTTGTTTATGTAGCAGCAGCCTCTGCTGGCTGCTTCTGGCATTGCAGCCCGTGAGCCCGGATGCTCTTCCATCACTCAAGGGATTCTGTGGTTTGTATACCGCGGGGTGATTTATGTCCAAGCCACAGGGTGTATTCTCTGAAGGTGCCGAGGAGTGAGGAAAAGAGACGATCGAGATCTCCGTGAAGAACCAGCCTGAGGCTTTCAGATTCCACCTAGCAGAAACCCTGTGGAGGAAGATGTTGAGTCCTTTGGACCTACACTAAGGAATGGCATTCTGAATCACATGGCAGATTCATTTTTAGCGTTTTGAAAGTTCTCCACACAGATCCCAAAGTGGTTGCACCAGTTTTCAATCCCATCAACAGTGAATGAGGGTTCCTTTTTCCCTGCATCTCCTTCAGCATTTGTTGTGGCTTGTCTTGCTGATTTTTGCCATTTTAATTGAGGAAAGATGAAACCTTGAAGTTGCTTTGAATTGCATTTCCTTAACTGCTAGGGGCAATGAACATTCTTTGAGATGTTTCGTGCCCGCATTTTTCTTCTTTTGAGAACTCTGTTCAGGTTCTACATCCATTTTCTGAAAATGGATTGCTTTTTTGATTCCTTGTTTGTTTTTTTTAAAGTTTTTTATACATCCTGTATATTAATCTCCCATTCTGTGGGCTTCCTCTTCACCCAGTTAATTGTTTCTTTATCTGGGCAGAAGCTTTTTAATTTTCTGAGGCCCCACTTGTCAATTTTTGGCCTTAATGGGCAAATGGAGTCCTAATCAGAAAGTCCTTTCTTACACCTTTATCATGTAGGGTATGGTCTATGTTTTCTTCTGACAGTTCCCAGTGTTTCACATTTAGATCTTTGATCCATATGGTGTGCAAGGTGATAGATATGAGCCTAATTTCACTTCTACATGTGGGCATCCTGTTTTCAAAGCACCATTTGTTGAAGGTATTTTTATTTTCTCCACCTTATGTTTTTGGCATCTTTGTCAAATATTTAGATGGATGAAGTTACAGGTATTCATTTTTGACTCTTTGGTTTTGTTCCATTGGCCTACATGTCTGTTTTTGTGCCAGTATCTTATTGTTTTATTACTATGTCTCTGTAATACATATTTTAATTTTTAAAGACAGTGGATGGACATAATTTTATCCCAAATAACCATGACATTTAATTATATCTTTCTGAAAATGTAAATAAGTATTTTTTCCCTCTGTAGTACATCTTAAGGTCTGGAATTGTATCTGGTAGAATTGTGCTGCGAATCCATGGGTTTTGTTTGTTTGTTTGTTTTCTGGAAGGTCTTTTCTTACTATTTCAGTCTCCTCATTTGTTAGGGTCTGTTTATGTTGCTGACTTCTTGGTTTAGTTTTGGTGGTTTGGCTGAAACTAGAAATTTTTCTATTTCTTTTAGGTTTTTCATCTTAATGAAGTGTAGTTTTTAAAAAATATTTATTTATTTATTTATCTGTTTGTTTATTGTTGAACTATTCTTGCATCTCTGGGGTGAAGCCTACTTGATCATGGTGAATGATCTTTTGATGTGTTCTCAGATTTGGTTTACAAATATTTTATTCCATTCCAAAAGGGAGGAAAGGGAGAATAGTAAGAAAATACTGGACCAAAGCAGAAAACCAGCTGGGGAAACTCCAAACTCTGCATCTCCATGTCTGATGTCAAAGAACTTTTCATATTTCTTTTTTCATTTTTGTTGACAGCAATACACTTCCTTCTTTTGGGCTGGTTCCACTCCCTGTTGGCAGTTTTCCTTGGGAGGTATCTCATGGCTCTGGCATTTCTAACATTTTAGAGTTTCCAAGACAACCCAGGTTTCATCTTCACAGTTTCACACAGTGGCCTGTCTAGGTCTTCATGCGGGACACCCCTGACATGCCTGGCCTCAGCGGCTTTCCTTAGTTGTGGAGGGAGATCCCATAAAAGCCCTTTCTTCTATCCTACCTCTAAAGCCAGAACCATGGGACCGAAGCTGCCAAGTTCTGCTGCTTGCTGGGGCTGGAACATGACCTCCTTGTTCAGTTACATCTTCAACTTTCTGGTTTTGAT